TGAACCAGCATCATTTGCAGATCTCTTCTTATCCTTCTTAAAAGCCCCTGCTGTTATTGCTGGTACTGCCTCACTGTGACCATATATACTGAGAACGAGAAACCATCAGATAAGAAAAAAGACAAAAAGAGGACCTCAATTAATTCTGCATTAATTCCAATAACGCCAAAGAGGTTCGGTCTCCTCAAATTGCGGCGTGAACAGAGGCATCTCAGCAGAAAACTCCTCGTCTATCAATTTAAATAAATAAGTTCCAGGCCCATATTGACATGAAAGAGTAAGATTTGGGTAGGAAGTTTTATTGAAAATATAGGAAAGGCATACCAACTTTCTTAATTCCAATTCTATACTTAATAGCCATCTGTCTGGTTTCTTCTTTACTAAAACATTTTTAATCCATATGCCCATTATCTTTTAATTGCTGACAAAGTAAATTCAAATACTTATGCACTCTATTCATCTTGACCTCTCTGTTGTATTTAACACTGTGTTAACACTGTAGACCATCTGCTTCTTTGTCTTACCGTTTGTATCCTTGGTCTTCATAATCCTTCTTTTTTTCTGGATTTAACCTTACCTCTTTTCATAGTATCAAAGAGAAACCTGGGCAAACAAGTCATAGATTAAACAACTTAATGTAAACAAGTCATGGGAAAACATATCAACTTAATTCCAGAGTTTTTTTCCCCAAGTCATACTACCTCAACATACTATGTGCATTTATATAATCAAGTAATTAGTTACAGTAGCCTCATCAATACAGAGATGCTGCTAATGGAGGGCAGAAATTACATAACACCATAACACCATGCCAGTACAAAACTGGAAATGATATAATAAGCAAATCCATAACAATGAATGTAATAGAGAAAAGGCATCTCTAACAAATATTGAAATCTTACAAAAAGCCCCTAGGACTCATATGAGTAGTACAAGAAACTAGTGTACATGAAATGCAAGTCCATGATATAAAAAAATACCAATCGAATAACACAAAAAAAGATAGAAAACCTTCTCATCAAAGAATAACACTTCATTGTAGTAACATATATGCAATTACTGTATTTAAAGATTGTATCCATCAAATAAAAGTAGGGTTAGGGTAGGGTTAGGATTAGGAGTAGGGTTAGGATTGGGTTAGGAGTAGGGTTAGGGTTAGTAGTAGGGTTAGGGTTCGGTTAGGACTAAGGTTAGGGTTAGGAGTAGGAATAGGGTTGGGCTATGTGTAAGATTAGGGTTTGGAGTAGGGTTAGGGTAGGGTTAGGAGTAGAGTTAGGATTGGGTTAGGAGTAGGGTAAGTGTTAGGGTTAAGAGAAGGGTGAGGGTTGGGTTAGGAGTAGGGTTAGGGTTTGGGTTAGGAGTAGGGGTAGGAGTAGGGTTAGGGTTGGGTTAGGAGTAGGGTTTGGGTTAACCCTACACCTACTCCTAACCTAACCCTAACCCTACCTCTAACACTACTCCTAACCCTATCCCTAACCCTACCCCAACCACAATCCTACCCCTACCCACTTTGACGCTTTTCAGAAGTCCGAAGCACTTTGGCACTTCGGAAATTCAGTTCGGTTCTGCACTTTGGAAATTCAGCACTTCGGTTGGGTTCAGCACTTCCGAAATTCAGCACATTCGGACATTTGGAAGCATCCGAATGTCCGAATGTCTGAAATTCATCCAAATTTCCATTCGGACTGAACCGAATTGCACATGTCTAATAAAAGCTATGTGTACAAACATAATGTAAAATTATAGCATCAATAAAAGTGACAAGAAATTGAAGTGTGAATTAAGAATTTATATAGTACAGTGTTGGCATTTGAATGCAGGCATTGATTTGTGTGTAGTGGTTTTCAATGCAGGAGTATGTTTTTTATATCATATTGGGGTTTTAATACAGAGGTCTGTTGCATGCAATGTTGAGGTTTTAATGCAGGGGTCTATTTGTTTGTAGTTTGATGTTTGAATGCAGGGGTGTATTTGTGTGTAGTGTTGGCGAGATGCTGAGATATATGCAAATACACACATATACACGCACTGAGGCACATTCGGATACTCATACAGATACACACATGCAGATATATAAACAGACATATACACATTGACACAAAGACAGATACACAGAAACACAGGTGCACACACTTATACACATACAGATACACAGACTCACAGTTATCCTTATGCAGATACACATGCACACAGATACACACAGACAGATCCACGGATGCAAATACACAGACTTACATACTGATACAAACACTGATACATGGACAAAGATACACAGGTACACACACTGACACACATACAGATACACTGACACACATGCAGATACACAGAGACACACACTGATACACATGCCGATACACAGACACATACTGACACACATGCAGATACATATATACACAAGTACACACATACAGGTCAAAATGTACACATGCATTAAACCACTGTATAACCTTGCTTCAGATATACAGATATATTATACTGTGTGCATATATCTGTTTTGTAACTCTGTGTATCAATCTCAATAACCTTAGTTATGGGCATCTCCTTATTGTGCCCAGTTCTGTGTGTAGTAACTAGATAATGCACTTATTCCTATCTGATGTTTGGTTATCTTTGAGTCATACCCAGCTCTGTGTATTTTATTGTTATCGTGTTGTGCCCGGCTCTTTGTGTGGTACTCAGTTCTGTGTAATGTATAGGCATCTCTGTATTGTACAAAGCCATGAGTAATGTATGAATATCTCTGATTTGTATGCAACTCTGTATATTGTATTGGTACTACCATTAGAGGTTAAGTACATAATCATAAACGGACAGATCGTTAAGGTCAGAGGATAGTGGCTACAGAGTTAATAGGTGGAGTCCACCAGCAGCCATTATATAAAGCATAGGATTTGTATATTTAGCACAGAATTTCAAGTTTTACTCTTAATACAGTATACAGTAGCAAGAACTGCCTTTTCCAGTTGAATCTACAAATATCATCAATATTTGCCTTGAGGCAGTGCAAGTAGACCGGGGCAAAAATTAAAATAATCAATTTTTAAAAAGTAATACATTTGATAAATCATGTATGTAAATGAATAATGTTATATAAATGTAAAAACGTAAATAAATATATATTTAATTGTTGGGGTATATTTGACCAGTGTTTAGAATTATCCCAAAGATAGCTTCCATGGAGTTATCTATTAAAATGGTTATTGTAATTTTATAATGGCAGCTTGTATTAGAAAAGTTCTACAACTTTTACAGGACCAAATTTGGAGGCAGCCATTTACCAGTACTGCATATGTTAATGTATTTTTGCATTGAATTGCATATTTCTTTTCAAATAACTTTTATTGATAATTTTTTATATAACATAACAATATAATTTTAGCATATTCTATCAATCGATTTTGGATTTCAGGTGTATTTTTTTTTCTATACTTTAAGTGTAATTTGTAAATTGTATTGCAAAATCCAAATATTGATAGATCTCGAAAATAATGATATAATTATCTAGTCATTGATGGTAATCTACCTTGAGGCATTCGTCATTTTAGATATTTGAGATATGAAAGCATTTTTTTCACTAAGCTCCAGGTTTCTATATAGGTTTAGAATCTTTGAAAGTAGATTTGCCAAAAGTTTTCATGCATATAGAAATAGACGTTTAAGATAACATGGTATGAAATGAACAGACATCTGCATGATTCCTTAGTTTAAATAAGCATGTGTAAAATTTATTATATACTTGTTTTCTCTGTTAATTGTATCAAGCCAATAAAAATTACATTTTCTATTATGCACATTATATGAGACCAATTTATTGCATAAGCAGTATTTTATTTAACTGATATAACTACTCTAAAGTGTGAAAAATTAAATCAGAATGCAATAATACAATATAAATGAATCTCAAAGACAGAGTATGTCCAAAATCAATGATATAATAAAGCCACATGTTAACACTGTTCTAACTAGTTGGCATTTGCAAAAAAACGCAGTACTATTTATCTAGAAAGTGATAGATAAGAGAGCACTCTATATGACTTGTTATATGACTTGTTATAGAATTGTAATCATTGCTTTTTTATACACTCAAAAAATACAATGATGATCTGCTACAGATATATCCAAGGTTACCTGGCTATAGGAGACCCGTATTGCCAAATGCAAGTTCCTACTAGACTTGTACAAGGCATGATTGGTCTGTTCAGCTGCATCCATGAGATGGCTCAGCTGGAGTGAACATCATTCATAAAAATATTCAGGTAGCATTCAGATATCCAAATAGCTGAGGACAAAAAATAAAATAAAAAAACTATTATCGTACTGCTTTGAAAAATTGGCTATGTTATTGCCTAGCCTAATAGCAAGGCAATATCAACTATTTTTGCAACACCAATTTGAATTGTCAACTTGTAATACTTATATTATCATGTCTCCATTAAAACTGAGAGAACTGTATATAAAAACTAAAGATAGTATAACTACTTCAAATCATTGAAGTTGTTTGTTTATGCCTGGCCACAGAGGCGGCTCTAGACTTTGCAAGGCCTTAGGCGAAAGTCAAACATGAGGCCCCCCATTTACACCATTAGTGAAAAAAATTGCCGCAACTCCCTATGCCGCTGCGTTGTGAGCACTTACTGTAGATATTACATAAATTGCTAATCATTTGTATACGATTGCTGGGTATGGTTGTATAGCCTGACATTTCCCCACATATTCTAAATTCCTTAACATGTATATTATCATATATGTGTTTCCCTATGTATTATGTATGTATGTATGTATGTATATATATATATATATATATATATATATATATGTTGCTTGCAACTTTATCTTTGCATTGCCCATATCATACCACAACCACACTGCAGACACACGCACACATTTAAACACTAATACACAAATACATATACACACTGATACATGCACATGCATTTACACACACACACACACACACATAAACACACTGATGCATACATATTGACTAATACAGACATACAGTCACAATGTGTTTATCTGGCTGTGTGTATTTCTAAATGTGTCTGTCATTGTCTATCTGTGTATGTGCCTGAGAGTGCGTCTGACAGTGAGTACCCTTGTATGTGAATGTATGTTTCTGTGAGCATGTGTATGTTTGTGTCTAGGACCGTATGTGTGTGTGGTAGCTGCTTGCGGTATTTTTTGAATATGGACTGTGGCCTTTGTGCATTTTGTCTGTGGGGAATGGTGACAGGGTGTGTGGAGGGAGGTGACAGGGTGTTGAAAGGGGAGACTGTGTGTGTGAGTGGAGGGGATGACGTGAAAGAGAGTGGAGGGGGCTGACAGAGTGTGGAGAGGTGTGACAGAGTGTGGAAGGGGGTGACAGATTGTGGAAGGGATTAACAGAGTGTGAAAGGGGGTGACAGGTCGCTGAGGGAGGGATGGGGTGACAGAGTTAGGGGGTGGCAGAGTGAAGGGTGGGCAGGTGGCTGAGGGAGGGTAGGAGGGGGTGACAGGGGGCTTTGCGATGGGGTGACAGAGTGAGGGAAGGTGGGGTGACAGGGGACAGAGTGAGGGAAGGTGGGGGTGACAGGGGACAGAGTGAGGGAAGGAGGTGGTGACAGGTGTTAGAATTAGGGTAAAGGGGGTGACAGGTGGCAGAGTGAGGGCCACAGTGAGGGGGTGACAGTTGTCAGTGAGGGAGGGGCTCACAGGGGGCAGAGTGAGGGGGTGACAGAGGGCAGAGTCAGGGAGGGAGGGGGTGACAGCGGGCTTAGTGAGAGGATGACAGCGGGCTTAGTGAGAGGTGACAGTGGGCTTGGTGAGGGGGCGACAGGGGACTTGGTGAGGGGGCGACAGGGGCTTGGTGGGGGGTGACAGGGAAGTTAGTGATGGTGACAGGGGGCTTAGTGAGGGGTGACAGGGGGCTTAGGTAGGGGGTGACAGGGGACTTGGTGAGGGGTGACAGGGGGCTTAGGTAGGGGGTGACAGGGGACTTAGTGATGGGTGACAGGGGACTTAGGGAGTGACAGGGGACTTAGTTAGGGGGCAAGACAGGGGGCTTGGGTGAGGGGTGACAGGGGACTTGGTGAGGGGTGACAGGGGACTTAGGGGTGACAGGGGGCTTAGGTAGGGGGTGACAGGGGACTAAGTGATGGGTGACAGGGGACTTAGTGATGGGTGACAGGGGACTTGGTTAGGGGTGACAGGGGGCTTGGTGAGGGGTGACAGGGGACTTAGGGGTGACAGGGGGCTTAGGTAGGGGGTGACAGGGGACTAAGTGATGGGTGACAGGGGACTTAGTGATGGGTGACAGGGGACTTGGTTAGGG